GTACAGGATAATTCTAGATAGTAGAGAGCGTGAGAATCACATGATCTCAATGACGCAACAATACTTAAATTATTGCACTTTTATATTTAGAACTAAAATTGCAGCACAAAACCAAAATTGTATGCATCTTCAATGTCGTAAAGGTCAATAAATGTACTAAAAATACAAGTAATCAATTAGAAATTATTAAATATAATTTAATCTATACATTCTAAAACAATTTGTACTAAATATTTTCATGCCAAATTATAATGGGATCAAATACATTTATTTCAATATATTTTTGCTATAAGAATACATAAATATATGTATAGTTTACATGACATTTATTCTACAGAAATACTTATAATAATGAAATGAGGACTCACCTCATCAATTTCCCCATTTACTTGCTTAATTCTGCCATCAAAAAACAAAAACAGTGCCCCCTAGAATAAAATAATGCATGAACATATAAATATAACTAAGACCATACTGACATAGAGTTCATCTAACAGCTATTGCTAGAAAATATACATTAACCAATTGTTTACAAAGTGCATGTGTTGATCATTATAATACTATGTCTTTTAGTTAATTATTAAACCACAGATATCCATATAAACACATAATTTGCCCTTAAGCCTAATTTACTTCTCCTGCATTATGTACAAGCTATTTCCAAAGTTTAATAGTTAACTATAAGAAGGGGATTTATGATTGAAATTTATAAGTTAATGTTTTGTTCTACTTGTTGCATCCTAAGATTTTTTAACAAAAAAGGACATGAATTACCTTATTTTTTCCTTAGTCTATTACTTCTTTAACTTTAAAATATTATGTAAATGTAAAGCTTAAGGTTGGTGTCTTTTTAAAAATAAAGCGTTTATACATATGAATGTATGTCTGTACGTATGAAATAACTTGTCTATTTACAACTTATAGATAAACTTTAATTTAATAATTGAGTTTTATAGCATGTCTAATAATAATACTTTTGTTTATAGTAAGTTTAACTAAAATTCTAACTGGGAAAAAAGTGTTATATTTCCAATAGTTTCTGTCTGTTTTCCAGTTAAGTAAGCCTATCATATTTGATTAACTGATGAATAACAAACATGCTTACCTTTGGATACTTCACCAGCATGTTATTTAAGTACTTTCTGCATAAATCAAGTCTTCCATCACATAAACCTATAATAAACATTTGTTAAAAATACCATCTGTCTTTCTGAGTTATAAAAGACCTAAAAAAATGTTATCTCTGCAGAAAAAAACATTAAAAACGTATGAAGTTATTTCTATTTAACAACCAAACTTGTCTAACCACTACATTTACTTATACTACATTCAACATTAGATTATCATTTTACTACTAACTTTAAAGCTGAGCACGAAACTTGGACCTATGCTTAATGCTTTACCACCTGAGGATAAACCACTACATTCACTTATAC